GTGCGTGTTCTCTCCCGAAGTTCTACCCTGCCATTACTGGCATATATCAGTACCAGTACTGTACATTATTTATATTGTGCATTTTGTGGTAAATAACCCAACCACAAGGTCGGTGATGGTACTTTATTTTGGCAGTTGTATTATAACTTATATCTCTAAATTCCATGTCTTGTCTTTTGTGAAAACCGGGGTGTTAGTTTTTGTGTGCCAAACCAGTACCTGTAAATAGAGAGAAAAAAACAATCATCACATTGAATGTATATCTAATTAACATATTGATTTACATGTAGTTCCCAGAAACACAAAAGTTGGTATAAAGACACGACAACATTACGTTAGACTCGAAGACAAGTGGTAGACGAGCGATATGTTGCCGTGTCAAAAACATAAACACGTTAAATTGTAACATTTTAACGTGTTCCCACAGTCATTTCGCATACATGCCTTGATATATTATTTGAACGATTACGGCTAATTTAAAAGAATTGTGTGAAAGTATGGTTTAACAAGATATGTTGTTTCACATCTCAAAATAAAGGGTCTGACTAAATCTCTCCCAATACTTGTTCACATTAATTTTGTTAAACAATACTTTCTGTTTTTACCCAATACATTCCACGATACTAACACATGTACATAAATAATCATTTTATTCAAGGTTGATATTAAAAGCAAACATCTAATGAACCCTCGGAAATGATGACCATGTCTACACGCAATATTAAACACATGACCAAAATGCTCGTTATAAACACGGAAAATGTATCGTGGGCAGTAGGATGCTCTGATGCACCGACTTGGGCGACTTGATCATGTCCAACAAATCTATGTCAGATGAGGCGTTTTTGGAGTTTCCACATCTGGTCCAATTCACCTGATACTTCTGATTTCAATAATTTGTTGTTCATTTCACATATATAACGTATATTAGCTATACTATTAGCGAAAATTACATTACTATTGTAGAAAACACCACCTTCATGGAGAACTGTTGTGAGGGTGGAAGCTGAACCAACTTCGCGATGTCCTGATGTGTTATCTACATGTACTTATACACTGGCTTCTGTAATGTATTTTTAAATACTAGACAACAAATTTACAAATTCCCACCAACTGAGCATTCAGAATCGAGGATCACACCTGCTTTTACAAATTTCAGTAAAACAATGGGTCGCTGAATGGACACCCGCACTCTTAATCACTTGACTGGTGTATGAAAAAATTTACTTCACGGTATTTATTGACCATGATTACTTGCATTTGATGAAGGGCATGTAAATAAAATTATACACGTACATATCAACATGAAACACGTGATTCGTATACAGACGTGCTCCATATTACACTATTAATACTATTTAATATAAACATTTCTTGGTACCTTGGTGCAGTTGTCAGCCTTCGGTTCCAAATCATTCAGTTCTACCAACTGTGAAAGCAGAGACGATTCTAAAAAGCCAGATTGCCTTGTGTGACTAAACCACACATGTGGGTTATTCAACAATAGGTTCAGATTAATAGCAAACCCCGCCATGTCAGTAGCAAATTTCCTTTCAGAAGAGTTCCATGCATGCCAAGACTTCACCTTGTTATCAGGACCAATTATAGGAGTTTCATAGCGTAACCCACCGGAAAGGCCGACTGGCCATATAGATACTTTTTTAGTATATCTCATCTGAAAGTAATATTGAAATATGATGTCACTGAAAATATCCTGTATTGAAAGCATTTAACATGTGACGTAGATTACTACATGTTGGTCCTCAAACGTATCACAAAACCACAAAACCTACATTTAAGTGCAACAAAAGTATTGAACTTGAGCCATATTAACTTATGAAAGTATGCGGACAAGATGATAGAATAGTAATTTGAGTTGCGCAATCGCTCCTGATAAATTTCCCGATAAGTCTGTGTTTTGTGCATTAATTGGTTAGCTTTTTTGGTTGGTTATGCCGTAATTTCCTCCATTTCGTCAGGCCCGCGACTGTCTGTAACCAAGTTCGCCGCCATTGTATGTGTGCCGTATAATAATCCCCCAAATAGTGTTATCGGGAATGAGGTGAAACGTTACGGTCGTGTGGTAAGCTCTGCCAGACAATACCACTTGATTATAAAAACACCAATTTTCGACAAATAATTTTCCAAACAAATGTATATGCATTGTGATAAAATGTGATGCACGTCAGTATGAAATATAGTTATCAACACACGAAATAACATTTAACAAGTGCCACAATAAAGGCATATACAAACAATATGACACAGAAAACAAATGTAAAGACTGATATGAATATTCAAGATACTGTTTGCATGGAAACAATTGTAGACGATACACACGTGACATCACTGTATGAACAACAAATACAACAGAGAAACGAGCGTACCAATCGAGCGTACAAACTACAAAAAACTAAACCATGCACTAAAACAAAGCTGAACATGTCAATGAAAGAAAAAAACATGCGACAGAGTTCTGTTCAAGCCAAGTCACTCACAGAACACCGTAAAAACGCAGAGATCTTGAGCAACAGAAAAGGTTGTATACAACGAATATTAAATAAAAATGGCAAAGAACGCACACAGAATGGCACACATTAACAATGCTACTGACAAAATACTAAACTGTATGCAAGGACTACCTACCAAAAATAACAGGAAAACAGTGAAAGGTCGTTAAACTATGATTTATAATACAGATTTGTCTAGCTACTTTATTTTTTAATACCAATGTTTGTCTTTCTGTGGTTAGCAGTATCATAATTCAAGGTATCAATGGCTTTCTTAAAACCTGTCAACCGAGTATTTTTTCCTATAGAAAACTCTTTCGACGTCCCAACTTTGGACGTTTTGCAGAGGCTACATGTTGTTGTACCCATGAAAGCACACACTCAGCTGGTATTACAATTCTACTTAACCCAAATACGTTCAACCGCATGTTCACATGACCCGTTCACTAATCCGCCGGAACGCTCTGACTTTTAAAACTTTTATTTAATGGATTGAACAACGATAATAATATTTTGCACGGGGATTGTAATTGCACAACCAACCCAAACATTTATAGGGCAAAACTTAAAATATTGCGTAGCGTTTGAAACTTGTAGACGCACTGCTGCAAAAGAGTACTCTTAAAATGATTGATACGTCTTTCATGCTAAAGTCGATCAAATTATAGAATCACGTTCTCATCCATTCCATCCCACTTTAATATGGCTGATCACTGCCTTATTAAGCTCGAGCTATGCCTGAAACTTCCTAATAACCGTAAGCCGATGTACTGTGTTAAGCTCAGTCTTTTTGTGACGAGGAATACTGTAAAATTATTAATGAGTACTGGTTACTACGACGGACTGAATAAAAACACTTGAACAGTGAACAGTATGGTGGCATGTTGGGAAACTAAGCTGAGTAACAACAACACACAAAGAAAACATGCTATATGCGCTGCCATTAACAACATCGAACAACATACTGATAACAGTGCCGTAATGAATAGACTGCTTAATAGAGACATTAAGATGCGCATACGAGAACGGAACGAGAACGGATACGTCACTGCTTTGTGCTTGACCTCCGCGCGAACCAATGACGTCATCGGTTGCCTGGTCGTTCGGCAGTCGTTTTGAACGTGATCAAGGTGACTGACTCGTAGTTGATTTCCGAGAGCTTTTCTCGCTGTCAATTTTGAATAATTTTCATTGACATTGATAAAACGTTTTATATCAGAGTGTTTTTGAATATTTATGATGAAATAAGAAATATTGGATGCATTTTAGCTGACATTTATACCCACTGAAAACGCATGATAATGATCTGCTGAAAGAGGATTCGGCAAACAGGCTTAGGACCTCAGCAGAGCGGATGGAAATAGTGAGAGCTTTGTCAAATGTCTGTGAACTAACTACTAATTCTGATTCCGGACGTGAAATGACATAACAAATTTTATTAGGTAGTTATTGTTGCCCAATGAGAGACGGATTGACATGGTTCTGGTTTCAGTTACGTTCCCGTTTTGGGCGCTTGTACTTAATCGTTTTCTGACACCCGAGAACGTAACGCAAACAAAATTAGAACATCACGTTACGTTCTCGTTACGTACGCAAATCTTAAACTCTC